TCACCATTAAAAATAATTTTTCAGACCTTTCAAAAGTCTCTTACTACTTTTGAACAAAACTAGGTACACTATTTCTAATTCCATATTCACAAAAAGCAAAATTTCGTCTGAAATACTTTCTAGTAGGTCAACAATAAATAACCATCTTTTTTAAAACCTCCTCGATCGCCTGTTATTTTTTCTGTAAATATTGAAAATAATATTGTTTTTAGATCATGTGGCATCCGTAAATGATATTTCGTTTCATCCAAATGGAAATTATCTTTTAACAGCATCAAATGATGCTACGTTAAAAATTTTTGATTTACTCGAAGGACATCTTATTTATACTTTACACGGCCATCAAGTAAATTCAATATTTAATTATTTCATATTATCATCTCATAATTTCTTATAAGGGACCTGCAGTGAGTACAGCTTTTTCAAAACAAGGAGATTATTTCGCATCAGGTGGTCAAGATCAACAGGTATATATTGAATACATATGCTGTAAAAAAAATATTTTTTATGGTTTTTTTTACCAAGGTACTTGTTTGGAAAACAAATTTTGACGTAAATTCTCCATTAGTTGATTCAACTAGTAATAAATATGCAAATAATACTGATTATATTACAACATCACGAATTTCATTAGAAGATCCAGAGCAAACTAGATCTCAAATAACATCATTACAAGAAAAATCTCAACCAGAAACAAGTGACGAACGACGAGCACGAAAAGTAAATGTTAAAAAAACAAAAGAATTATAAAGATGCAAATGTATATCGATTATCTAATACATTTAGATCGATGTGTTCAATGAAAAGCCTACAATGTCTATGCATCGTGATGATCATGATGATCGTGTAGAAATAACAAATATTGAGTCAACTGATAAAAATGGTATTTCTCGGGTAAGATAAAAGTTTTCAGAATGATCTAAAAATCAAAGATCATCTCATGATCTTATTTGATTTTGCTCAGAAATTACTGATTTCAAAAAAAGAAAATAAAGAACTTACCAATTATTTGTATAGATCTCTTCTCTGTCTTACTCGATCATAGACTATTTCACTTCTTATCAGATCATCAAAAAAAGAAAGGTGATGCATTATTCTCTTTAGTCAAAAAGTGCTTCACTTAATTTGGCCAATTCAACTGCTATATCAAACAGAACAAATCAACATAATCATTCGATATATGATAGTGAAATGAATGATCAACAATCATATTCATTTCAATTAGCAAATACAATTGATCATATTGTTCAACAATTGGATGTATTAACGAAAACTGTATCAATACTTGAAACAAGATTAACAATGACTGAAAGTAAAATACAAGATATTAATAATATACAAAAAAATAGCAAATAAAAATTCTGAAATGTGTCAGATTTATCTTTTTTTTTTTTTTCTAATATCATATCTCAATTCTTATGATTCTCTTTTTGTGCAAACTTTAGTTACTAGTGATTGAATATGTTTTTTTTTGTAATATCTTACTATGGTGAAAAATCACCAAAAAATAAATTACATGCTAATCTGTTACAATATGTAGCTTGATTATAATCAACTTAAAGTGTTGAAATATTTATCTCCGGATGTATAATAAGCAACAGAAGTAGTAACTAATCCTACACATTCACTACTACAAGTTCATGTTATACCGACATAATTTTTACCATGCATAACAACGTGAAAAGATTATCCTATTGAAATACTTTATTGAATAACCATACCTCATAGCACTATCAGTATAAATTGCTAAATAATAGCAGACTTTTTGAATATGATAATAATTACTATAAACGATTGGAACTATGTAATTTTATTTATTCGTTGTAATAATATCTATGATTAAATAAAAATTTTTAAGAATAAATTCTAAGTACGATTGATAGTTCAGTTTTTTTGCAAAATCTTCTTTTTACTGTTCAGCATGGTTTCTTGTTGTTCTAGTGATGACTGATATTGTGATAGTGCTTGTAATCATTATAGAAAATAGAACAAAAAAAATCAGGCTTCTTTTGATGAAAAGAATCTTCACAAAGATAGTTAATATTATTTATTTATTTTGATGAAAATAAACGAATGTTGTCAAATTTTTGCAATCTTAAAAAGATAATTAATTAAACTTGTCGTTTCATTAATATATAGATTGACACATTCAAAGTTGCAGGAATAGTAATAATAATTGCTAAAGCATTTACTAAATCATTGATTTTTAAATAATTAATCATTAATGAAAATAAAATTATTTAAACATGTAATATCTATTTTAGAATACATATGAATAACGAAACCGTTGAGATCTCTGATCAGTTTTGTATGTTAACATCATGTATGATGAAATTTTATGGAAGATGTATTGATTCTAAAATGTAATCATCTGGAATCAGGATTATTTCAAGTACAAGAACAAATATGAAATTTCATAAGTAAAGAATATTTATTTAAACGACATTTGTTTTGTTCAGTGCAAATAAAAAGTGTTATTTTTATGAGAGATCGAAGAAAAAAAACGCATTTTATTTTTTCAAAATGAAGCAAAAAGAAAAAAATAAATGTAACTAAAGATTATATGTTAAAAACTATATGAAAAAGAAATTGCATTACTAAAGTACTTCCTATCGGACGTGCAATTTCATAATGTGTATTCTTGTATTTCAATGAATAATATCCATTTATATTTGAATTTCTTTCTTCCGCTCAAACAGACGTGATTTGCAATTTAATTTTTGGCTTAAAGAAAATATCATAGTTCAGCAACAAAATTACACAGTTAATTTATGTAAAAACTTATGTATCAATATCAATTGAGAGAGAGAGAGAGAGGAAGAATAGATCAAGAATCGAACATTAAATAACAATTTGTTCAATATTCAGATTGAAGAAAATTTTAATTAGCTACTTTAATCGAATAAAATTTACTTTTATTAATCAATTCAATTCTTTGGAATACAATATCATCTACATATATATATGTCGCATGTTTATTTCATGTGATGATCTATCCAATGTTCTAATGGTTTGCTTTTTCTTTTTTTTTTTTGTTACATACGCATTTATTAATTAATAATTGAACTCAGATGATAATGCATTCTCATGAGTCTCTTACATATTAGATGAAAGAATGAGATGAATAAATAAACAAAACTGTAAACAGTAGAACAGCAGTAAGAATTTATTTTTAGACTAATAGTTATATGCGAATCTATAATATGAGAATTAGAACCCGTCGCCTAAATCCAAATTCGTTTGATTTTTGTAACATAAGGCTAGTTGTTTGCAACAATATTCAGCATAATTTTATGGATGTTATTTTTTTGATAGATACAATCAATGAGCTAAATAAATATATTCTAAATTTGTGTCGTCGTACATTCCTAATTGACAACCATATCAATTAAGTTTTATAGCTATTCTTGATAGACTAGAATGTTTTATTACCATAATTTGATGCAAGGATCCTTTTATAATGCCAACTATATAATTATAGGATTATAAGCAAAATTTCAGATTTAGAATATTTGAATTTCATTGTATTCTTTCATTAAGTATAATTCATTTGCAATAATAGTTTTGAACGATTATAAGAAAAGTTTGAATTTCAATTTTTAAGACAAATAGCTCTTAAACTGATATCAATTGATACCAAACTAAAAAGTACGATCAAACATGAAATAAAGTTTTGGTTAAATAAATAACTTATCATTTGATTGATAAATAACGATAGTAACATATTCACTTAACTCTCTTGATGAGTTATAGTCCTAGTACAATGAACTTTCATCATAAAAATTGATTCTATCAATAAAACTCGATGAAAGGACACATATAAATTGTTATGTCAATTATTGCTTACTGTAACTCTTCAGACTTAGTATCAGAATACAGACAGAACAGTATATAATTGAATGTAACAAAAAAAAATTTTTTTGATATGAAAAAAATATGTTCTTTTTTTTTCGAGGATCTAAATCCAGTTCAAGGCTGTTAAAAAATCGAAAGAATTGATAAACAAAATTTAATTATACCTTTATATTGTCGCATACTTATAAAAAAAAACATACTAATTTATTTAAAAAAGAATCTGACACTCAACTCAAATAACAGGATAGGCCTTTCTGTAAAAGTATTATTGCATAGAAAATTTCATAAATTTAAGATAATTAAACATGCAAGCAAATCTACATTAGACATTATTGTAAAGTGACATGTTTCATGTTAAAAGCTCTCTTATTTTTCCCTTCGTTCATCCAACATGACTATATATATATATATATATATGCTTTTCTGAAGACAATAATCTTTCATTAAATATTACGTGCTATAAATTCTAGATTGAATCATTAAAAACCCAAATCTGACTTGCAAATTTTCAAATGAATGAAATATAACCAACTGATCAAATTTCATTTTGTCATTCTATATCTTGATTAGAATATTATTTTATATAAAAGATAAGATATATTTTGTTTTTCCAAAAGCTTTTTTGTATCTTTCTCATACAAATTGTTTGTTTTATTTCGTCTCTTTGTGTATATGTCTTACTCAAAATCATTTCATCGCAGTCTGTTATCAATGTGCAAAAAAACAAAAGGAAAACAAAAGAAGCCAACGAACAGAAAAAATAGAGCCGTATGTTTTTTTTTAAGACATGAATATATCTCAACACATACGTACAAAGAGACACAGAAGAAGAAGAAGAAGAAGAGAAAAAAAAGAAGGAAGGCGACTGTCTGCCTAGCACGGCCAACAAACAAACAAAGAAAAAAAATGACAACAACAGCCAAAAAAAAAAGAGCGACGATCATGCACACGCACGCACACACACATCAAAAATGGCACTCGAGACGAAGTGAGAGAAAAATGGTGGTTGAACAATGAACAAAAAATCCACAAAAATTCTCTCATCCAAGCCAGAAGATCGCGAAAAAAAAAAGAGAGAGAGAGAGAGAGAGAGAGAGAAAGGGAAAGGCAAGAAAAGAAAAAGATTCAGCTGTTCTATCAATAAGTCACCTGAAAACAAAAGAAAAAAGAAAGCTTCAATATCAACTTAAATCGCAATGAAACACTTTTTTTGTTTCTACATACTTATTGATCATGTTGTGGTTGTGATTGCGATTGGGCTGCCGACATAAAAAATGCAGGATGTTGAGGATTAACAACACAATATGCTCCAGGATGACCATTGGCTATTTGTAATTGTTGTAATTGTTGTACAGGTAATGGTACTACAAAAGCGCCACCATTTTCAGGTGTTGATTGCATATAGGACGGAATAGGATGATTATAACCTGTTAATGTCGATCGTAATGGTGCCGCTGTACCATACATTGGATGTTGAGGTGCTGATTGTGTATGAACTGGAACTTGTTGTGGTGATATTTGTGTCCATGGTGAATAGAGAACTGCTTGTGGTGGATAAGATCCTGTTTGTTCCATTGGTGAATATAATGGAGGACCACTTTTCATATCCTAATTTTTGTATAACAAGAAAAAAGCTAACTTCAATTGAAAATCTTATATTTTATTACATACATCTAAACCTGATTTATATAATTTTTTATTTTTACTAGCATCAGCAAATTTAACTTGTACAGGTTTATCAGTAAAATCTACAAAAAAAAACGAAATAATTTTTTTTTGTTGATAGTTTTTTTTCTTTTATTTAACAAACTTGGAAAAGTTTTATTATGGAATTGATCAATAATTTCTTGACATTGTTTTTTATCATTCATTCGTGCAAAACCAACACCACGTGATTGTTTTTGTTGATCACGTAAAATTCGTACACTAACGACATTACCATAGTCACTTAATGCTTGTCGTAAATCTTGTTCTGTCATATTTAAATCCAAATTAGCAAAATATAAATTTGTTTCATCTTGTTCTTGTTGTTGAGATGACTAGATTAATGTAAATTTATTTAGTAAAAACAAAATTCTTTTATAAATAAATACTTTAGCTAATTGTGCTGTATAGCCTTTTTTTTGTAATTCAGTTATTGCATTTTGTGCATCTTCATGGGATTCAAAATCAATAAAACCAAAACCTTTACATTTATTTGTTTGTTTATCAATGATTGCTTTCATTGATTTAATTTTACCGCAACTAGAAAAACAAAAAAGAGAAATTATATTTCATATTGAAATTTATTTTTTCTTCGTTACCCTTCGACTAGGGCAGCAAGATCTTTATCAGAATACTCTGGTGGTAAATTTTTTATGTACAAATTTGTATCACTAAGTGTTTGTTGTTGAGCTTGATCAAATGATGATGATGATAAACCATTTACATACGTTGTTCTTTGTTGATCATATGGACCAGCATGATTTTGTGGGGGTGGCTATATAATAAATAAAGAAAAAAAGGAAAAAAACAAAAATAAATTATCTATATTACAACTATTCACAATGGCTTATTCTATTTTACATATATATATATCTTATTATTTATTCTATATACGAACCGCTCCTGTCAACAATTCATAGCACACTTCAGTTGTCGTTGGGAATGGTATAAACTGTGTTGCCGTTGATGCAGCGGCATTCCAGCCCATTAATCCAAGCAAGACAACATCGCCTTCCATGTCAGATATGAGTGAAATAACAATAACGATAATATTGACAACAACAACAACAAGAACAACAACTATATGTTTATAGATATCTATAGTCTATAGCAAAACTAATAAATCAAATTAAAACAAGGAAAAAAAAGATTATCATGAATAACTAGAAAATAAAAATAAAAAAGAGAAACTTGTCTCTATAGACGATGTATATTAGACATAAGAACATTATCGGTGCATAGTTTTGACTGATTATAGAGCAGCACGGCAAGAGCGAATAGCGTAGCTTTCTTTATTCGTTTGTTCGCCGCCCTGATTCCGTTTTCTCTTTATAGACAGAGTTATAGAATATTGAGAGAAAAGAGAGAAAAGAGTGCGTAGCAGCCAAATATAATCACAGTAAAAACTCATCAATATAATAAGCCCTTTTGCGCGTATGGCACGACGCGAACGCAAAGAGGGAGAGAGAGAGGGACAGGGAGAAAAGAATGAATGAATAATAGCAAAGCGAATACTGTAGAAACGAGGCGAGGCCTAAATATTTGCTTTGCCAATGGGCGACAACTAACAAGAAGAGGAATGTACATATACAAGATGGATTCTATTACATACACATAAACACGCGCGCGAGAGAAAAAAAGAGATTCTTGACACATCCTTTCTATTACTCCATTATCTCTGATAGTAGTTAAAGAGAAAGAACGAATAAATTTCTTTTCTTTGACTCACTCATCAGAGAGATGAAAATCATTCGATCAATCACTCGGACAGTTTTTTCTGCTATTAGATATATATATCTTGTACTTAAAAACATGACATAGAACACGACCAAAAATACTCACTACATTATAACTGTCTATAGTAAGAAAAAAAAAAAAATTAGAAAAAGAGAAAAACAAATCAAATGCTGACTGTCTTTTTTTCCTTCTTGTGTATGTACTCGAACACACGCTCATGATTTCTTACTCGTCTTTTTTTTATATACACTGAGAAATAAATGCTTATTCTAACGTCAACTCGTTCTTCTCTCGTATTTACATATGAATCGAATCCGCCCTATTGAAAATCGCTGAACGACAAGAGAAGAGAGAAAGCCGGAGGTCGCCTCCGAATTAATCATAATCGTTTACAGTCACAAACGTCATTTTTTTTTTCTTTTCCTACTTCTTCTCTTTAGTACTACTAACCAAATCATTTATGTTGATACTATTGCTACATTCATTCTCTTCTTTTCCTGTTCGTGTCTGTCTGATTGGAAATGAATGCATAGTCAGTCATAAACAAAAGAGTCTAATCAATTCATACTGAACAACTTCAAAGTTTTCTTCGTATTCTTCCCTCTCATCGGTCTTAATTGGCGTCAAATATTTAATATATACAATTTCCTATGGGTATATAAAACCGTAGAGAAAGAGCGACAGAAAGAACATCGATATTCTTCTAGCATCTCAAATAAAGAGAGAGAGAGAGAGAGAGAGAGAAAGAGAAGAAAAAAGAAAAATAAGCTGTTGATGACAGTTTGCGTGTGCGACTATGTCATAAACTAGATATCAGGTTAATCGTCTTCGATGAAGTTACTGCTGCCGAATAATAGGATTTTTTCACGCATAAACATATTATGGTTGATGAATGAATGCATCAAATAAACGAACGAACAGCTCATTTTATCAATAGAGTTTAACTGAAATATGATCTCTTCTTCTCTATCTCACAAATATATCATTGTAGATACGTTGTCTATTTAGATGTGCAACTAAACCTGCTACATCTTTTCTTTTCTTTTCTTTTTTTTTTATGAGATAAAGATGCACAAATATATACATGCACAGTAAGACTTCTTCCTTCTTTTCTTTACTCCCCTAATGAGACATTTACTGGGGTGATTACTAGACTCAATTATGGTCTTCCAAGGTTACAAATGGATTGACCCATTAATAACATAGAAAATAAAAATTCAAGAGACTTATAAATGAATCGAATACAGATGAGTATCAATATAAGAATAAAATAAGACTTATGATATGAGACCATCAACAATATAATGATAGAAACTTCTTTTCTAATCATCTTCTAATCGAACAATAACATTTCAAGATCGGCAACACCCGAACAAAAGATAAAATAACCGAAATAGACATAAAAATGCATATAAATGATCGATAGAAATAACTAGCACAATAATACTCATTCGTTCAATTAGACTATGCTTTTAGAAAAGATATTCTATTTGTTATATATAAAAATAAATTATACGAATACTTACGATATAACCACCATAAGCTTTTGGTGAATGAATATTAAAATTAGGTGCAACTTGTCTGGAAGTTTCCATTGAATGTGCTGCTAATCGTAAATAGGCTTCACGTTCAGCTGTTAATGACATATTTGTTGTTATAGTTGAATGTTGTTGTTGTTGCACGTGATCACTTGAATGGGGATCAATGGGTAAATGGTGTGAAGGAGGTGTTTGTGATGGCTAGAAGAAAAAAGATAACAATGTAATCACTTCTGATCATAAAAGAAGAAAAAAACTCTTTCTCTTTCTCTCTGCAATGAACACAATTAGTAAATGTATATTCATACCTTTTCTTCACGTTTAACCATGTCTCTTTTAACAAATATTTTTTAGTATGAAATATCTATGTACACGATACGATCAAGTAAAAGCCTTTCAGTGTAAAGTTGGAAGACTTTGTCGTTCTTTTTCTTTCTTTCTTCTTTTTTTTTTGTGTCGCAATAATGCGTCATTATTTCTCATATATATAGTTTTTTTCCTTTTTCTGTCATATATACACCCAAAAGGTCACATATGGTAAAAAAACATCTTATAAAGTATCAATGATTCATTATTTAACCAATGATAGTTATCTTTATAAACTCTTGCTCTATTCGAAATCTATCAAATAAGACAATATTTTTTTTCTTTCATCTATAACAGTTGGGAAGAAAAAAAACCCGAGATAATCAACACCATACAGATGGATAAAACAACTCGCTTATCTATTATTTGATTAATGACCTATCCCGTTCAACTTATACGCAACTGGCAGTATAACATCTACAAACATATTTTGTTCAGTTTCATGCAAAAGAAAAAAGAAATTATTTTAATGGTTTAGATTCATTCATTGAAAATATCTTTTTTTTTTTCATTAAATACTTATCCACAGGGTGTATTATTTCTAATAGTCCAACTGTGAATTAAAGATATCAAAATGAAACATATTCGATAGTATTTAATTATCTTTTCGTTTATGTTTTAACGGACAGTAGGCGGAGTTATAATATCATTGAGTTTTGATAAATAATGTGTACACAATTATATTCAACAGTTAGAGAAGAAAGTTTTTTCTTCTATTACATCAACAACATTATATCGATTGAATTGAAAATAAGAACAAAGTAAACAAACGATTGTTCTTTTTTTCATTTTTTTTTTTATATATGTAAATACACGTGAAAATTAAAATTGTTTTAAACCAAAAGAAAACAATTTACCTGGTGAGCAACGATAGTTGACATTTCTTTTCAATTGATTAAAAATATTTCTTGTACACTACTATGTATATATATATATATATACATATATATATATATAGATGTGTATGTGTATGAACGTGCGGAGGTCGTTGTAAGGTTCTCTCCTTTTTAATCTATAATAGACAAAGGCACATCTCTCTCTCCCTCTCCTTGTTCTCAAGCTAAATCAAGCGCACATACAACGTGAATAGACCGATGAAAAGAAGATGCAGAAGAAGGAGAAGAAGAAATAAACCGACCGAAAGAGAGAAGAGACGAGAGAGAGAGAAAGAAAGATGGCGGTCTGTTCGTCGTCACACGATACATACTCATCTCCATCAGCCTAACCAGTCAGTGACGACCATCAACAATGTCAGCGCTATTGCACGCAAGATTAGCAATATACAAGAAAATGAGAATAGTGAATTTGATGAAGAGAAAATGAAAGAAAAAAGATGAACATGTAGACCAGTCGACACAATGAACGAACAGTCGTTGACTTCCGTTCGTACAATTGTGCTTAAGTAAAAGGAAATGGAGTGTGTAGCGTGCAATTATATAAAAAGTCTTTTATAATAACTAAAAGTGCAATAGATTCTATTCACATTAACATTTGCTATTATAAACTGACAGGTTATTCCTCATTCGATCCATTTTCTTTAAATGACAATATGTTAACAATAAAAATTCTTTGGTATACTAACGGAACAATCTCTTGTTCATAAAACAGTTATTACTTTGTTGGATAGAATGAAGTAGAAACCAAAAAAAAGGAACACTAAAAAGTAGTAGGTTTTTGGTTGGCAACATATGCGTTTTTTTTCTGTTTCTTAACATCAATTAATTCGATTAGAGAATAAAAAAAAAAAAGAAAGAAATTTATTATCGTATATGCAAAATTATATACGCATGTATTTGATTAATAAGACATATTCTTATTGCTACTTACACTGTAAAAATGAAAGCACTTGAAAAAAAATCGGAAATAGATCACAAGAACATTTCCAAAGAGGTTAGGAATTGGGTCTTGTTATTGTTATTGCCGTCGATCGCACTACACGCCACCGCTAACACCAACGCTTTAGTAAGAAGGGAGAGTAATAAAAAAAAAACCTAAGGAGAAAAGAGCAAAATAGAGAATGAAAAAAAAGCGGTACAGAAAAAAAAAACGAGAGTAAGAACAAAGAGTATCTTCTTCCTTCCTTATGCGTATACATATGTCGACAATCTAGGCGCGAATACACTGTATTCTATTATATTTAATAGCAAATATTTTTCGACAGACTAAAAAACAGTCATCGTGTTCCTCCATGTGAAACTATGCTGCCTCATCTGGCATGTTTCATTTTTGCTGATATTTATAATTCATATCAAAAGCTAATAACGATCAATCATATATATCAAGGTTAATATAGTAAAACTGAAAGAAGTAAAAGAAAAAAAAACACGGTATAAGTAACGATCGTCGATCGATACAACTAATAGACCAAAGTTATTTCTTTTTTTCCCTCTTCACAGCTGTTGCCATCAACACTCGCATCGCGTTGTTAAACTATATAGATAAAATGTATGTGTATGCGGATGCTTGTGCGCTTGCATACAAGAGAATGTTATTAGTTTTTGTTAGGCATGTTACTGTTAAAAGGGGGAAGGTGTACTCAGAATAGTAACATGCAATAAGTAAAAATTTACATCGCTTCGCATTTCTTTTTTGTATATATTGAGTTCGGTTTGTAAGAATGAAAACAGAAAAAAAACGAGAGAAAGGAACATCGTCAACAACTGAGTTTATTGAGGTGGTGTGCGCACTGATGAGAAAGTAGAATACAATCAAACAGAAAGAAAGAAGAAAAATAAAAAGACCGATGTTTTTTTTTCATCAGGTAAATTATGAATACGGACGTGAACATGATTAATTAGCAAGTATTTTTCTTTTCCTTCATTACACTCCTACTACTTAATCATTGTCAATAGCTAAACATTTTAAACGACTAAGATAAAATTTTATGATATAAACATCGATAATTATCAAAAGTTATTTGACTTTTGCGTCTTTATTCTTATTCTCATTGTTGAATTTGTGATGTTTTTATGAACTCTAGAAGAAAATTTCTTTCCATTTTTAGAGTAATGAAAAACTTTTACCATGATGTTTCCATTTTTGTTTTTTTTGTATGACTCGAACCGACTACAACTCATATAACTTTTTGATGATCTGGTCTCATCTGAGTTAAGAGAAATTCCCTGGTGAAAAATGAGAGAAACATGCAATGATAATTGAAAATACATGATAAACAATAACGGTAAAATATATCTAGTAATAAATCAGATTTTGATAAAAATTCAATCTATGCAAAGCACGTAAACAAGTTATACGTTTACTTTTGTCACATACAGCTGAATAGAATGAAAGATCAATGCTGTCGATTAGATATAGTATTATTGCTCGTTAACGATAAACAGATAATGAAAGAAACTTGCATGCTAGTAAAAAAAAGTTAAGATAAACAAAATCGAGATGGTTTTTTTTTTTTTCTATCAAAATATAAGACAATAATAATAAGAATAAATTCTGAATATTGTGATATGAGATCTATTTTAAATTTCCTCTATGAAACATTGATACTTCAAAAAATTAATAGGTCAACTGTAAAAAGAAAAAAACAAGTTTTATTTTTTTGTCTTCTATAAAGTCAAATATTTAATTTATAACATACCTTAATAGTGATAATAGTAGAAATTTGAATTCGACCAATAATAATTACAGCCAAAAGTTAATAATCTATGGACAAATTTTTAAAAATGAAACAATATATACGTTAATACTAATAATTTTCTTTTATTTTGTATTAAAGTTAATATTCACACACATGTTTTTATTTACATACTCAAAAAGAGAAAGAAAAAAAAAGATAAGATAATCAACATATTTTGGTAAAGACACAAAAAGACGAACAAATGACAAAATTATAGTATGACACAGATTTAATGACTAGTTGATATATAGGATATTTTTAGAAATAAATTTAAGGTAAACAAAAAAAAAATATTAATATTTTAATTTATTTTCTTATATCACATACAAACAACAAACCGGATGGAAATATGGAAAGAAAATTGAAATTTATTAACCAGTTTTAATATTATTTAATTTTCCATCATATGCTGGCTGAAGTTTAAGGAAGAGATGACGTCGTGATAAACTAACTTTTGGTGTGCCACCAGTTGCACCTATTGTTGTTAATGTTTGTAGTGGATCATTATTTCCTGATAATTCTTGTACTGATTTTGCTTGTTTTAAATTTGATTGAATAGAATTTGATTTTGGTATTAATGAACATTGTTGCTGTTGTTGTTGTTGTTGTTTTTGAGCTAATAGAGCAGCAATAGAAGATGCAGATGATGATGATGAAAGATTATAAGTTGATGGTGAACATGATGATGAATAATGTGAACGATTAAATGATGATGATTTTGATGGGACTATTGGTCGATTAACATGACGTTGTCGTGCTTTCTTTCTTATTTGTTGTAAAAGAAAAAAACAATCTGTACATATATCAATTGGTTTTGTATGCCAATTATTTAAATTCGAAATATGATGAACATTAGCTGGAGTTGAACTACGACGAGATTCAGATTCATCATGTGTTAAATCATTTAATACATCATTCATTACTGGTGTAAGAGGAGATCTAAATGATATATTTTATTTTATAAATAGAATTTTAATGACATTGTTTTGAAACTTTGAACGAATGATGCATCTATCGTTGTAAAAACCTTAAGATGGACCCCCTTCTCTTTGCCGACTGGAATTTTTTAGATTTTTCATCTTTGGTTTTTTTGCTGCGCTATATATATTTCAAAGTATCTTCTATCTACTAGATTTAGTTTAAAAATGAATATTTAATTATAAAATTCGAAAAATCAGAACAGATAGAAGTTTTGCTGTTTTTTTTTGACAACAGTATTGAAAGTAGTCCCTATTTCTCTCGACCACAGTATATTTGATTGAGTTGAAACATTTTTCTATTTATATTAAAAAGTGTTTAGAGTACCTAATCTTTTTTCTTTCAAAATATCATGTAACGCTGACTTTTGCCAGAATTTACAATAAAAACTCCAATTTAAAAAAAAACATGCATTTTTAGGGGTACATCCAATATTTTTATTTTTTCATACGAACGGAAGTATATAAAAAGAAACTAAAAAAAATGCCGGCATCCAAAAAGTGTCAAATACTTGTAAAAAACCTTCAATTCTTTCAGACGTATTGACACTAAGAAAATGAAGCAATTAGGGAGGGGGGGGGGCGACCTTTAGTCTTCGCGATGTCGATATCTTCTAGAAGAAAGCATTCGAAACTAAAGAATTTATGAAAAATTTAGTTCTACTCATCGAGATTCTAATGAGTTATTTTTCACATGTGCCCGAAAGCTATGAGAACATTCTCTGAAGTATTTATTTGTAGAGCTTCTATCAAGTCCAAAGTTCACAAAATTAATCTTCATAATATCTTATTAAACTCTGATATTATTTACTTATATGATCAACATTTAAAGAAAATTTTAACTATTTAACCCGAGTAAAAAGAATAACAACAATGAATCATTCATTCTTTAAAATATTAGTCTATATTTAAAATAAACATCATGATGATGACTCAGTCCTATAGAAAAAAAATAATAATAAATAAACAAGTTTCTTACTGATTATCAAGTGAATAAGATCTATCTGAATTTAATAAAGATGGTGGACATGCTAATGGAGTAAATGTATGAATTGGTACATCATTTAATTTTTCTTGTGGCAAAGCAATCTACAAATAATTAATATTAATTATAAAATAAATTTTTTTTTTTTTGTAAATAATAAATCTACTCGTGTAACACAATTTCGACAAACTTTTTGTTTGCAAACATTACATTGAATACCAAATGTGAATGTCAATAGATTAAAATGTATTTTTCGACAATTAAAACATAACTAAAAAGAAAAACATCCTTTCTTTTTTTTTCTTGGTTGTTTTTTTTTTCATTTACCTTCCCCTGAGCAACTTCAGAATATAGTTTTTCATCAAATAATAAAGTTTCTAATTCAGCTCGTGTAATTACATTTCGAATATGACAAAATTCATCAAACGTTAATGATAATGTATTTGAATTATCTTTCATAAGCTAAAAAGAAAAAAAAAAAAAAAAGAAGTATAAATAAATAAAGCAAAAACATAAAACTCTTGAATTCATTCAAGCAAATGATTACATGTATATGTTACAAGCAAAGATTAAATAATTTTCAAAATACCTGAAAAATGCGTTCTTGTAACTGCATTAGTGCGTATGATGGTAAATCAATTTATTTCTAATGTCTTCTGTTAAGTAGGATAACAAATCAACTAAAAGAAGAAAATGTCTCGCTTGTTCTTCGTCTTTAGCGACGAATGATCTTCTACAGCAACATATTTTCTATTCCTTATGTCAGTTCTTTCCTTTTCCCTTCTTTTTTTTTCTTGCGTGTTGGATCACAATGGCGTGCGTAGGCAACATCATTTTTTTCCTTTTCTTGTCGGTAAAAAAATTCTATAAGAAAAGTCTCAGAGACATTCATTAACAATTTCTTTCTTTCTTTCTTTCTTTCACTTCTATTTACTAGTGCATACATGCATGAATGTCTAAACGCATATATAGGGTTATATTTATGAATGAACATAGCAATCAACAAGCTATAATGTGCTATCATTATAACATACCCAACGAACACAAATACAACGATGAAAACTAGAATAAAAATAAAATTAAAAAAAAAACCAACCCGAATTATTTCTTCCATAGATATATGTTCTAATTCAAAAGGTTCTATGTGTGTATAATTTTTTTTTTTTGATAATGATTTAGTATTATTATTAGTTTTCATTAAAGTTAAAGCATCCATAGTTAAATCCACATAATCATCACCATTTTCACTTACACGTTTATATTTGTTTTTTGTTTTAGCTTTAAAGAAAAAAAAAATCAAACAAAATAATAATAATAATAATAACAATAATAGTTAAAAACTAAAAAATAAAATTTTACTATCTATTATATCTTCAGGTGACGATGGAGATGATGATTCAAGAAGACAGTCAATAACGGCTACTCGTTTTCGACCATATTCATCTCGTTGTTCATCATCATCATCAGAACTGATATCACTATCCATTAAATCCTAAAAATAAAAAACAAGGATAAATGAAATTTTAATTTCATATTGACAAACTTTAACAGGACGTATTCGTTTTCGAGATGAATCTAAACTTGTTGTTGAATTCAATGATTGATTTCCTAAAACAAAATTAAAATTAAAACCCGAAAAAAAAACAAACGAAGATTTTTCAATTTTTTTTTACCAATTGGTTTTAAAATACGTTTTTGTTTTATTTCTGACATTAATTTATCATGTAAACAAATATGATCGAATTCGTCTTTTCGATTTAATTGAATTGTTTTTCTTAAATTTTTTTGTTGTTTAGCTATTTCATCAAGGACACGATCATTTTCTCTTGTTGACCATCGACGATTTTCATTCATTGAATTATTTAAATTACCATAATTATCTAATGAAACTTTTCTTAATTGATTTTGATCATTAAATTGTAAATATTCAAGAGTTACATTACGCCATAAGGCTGCCTAAAAAATAAAATATAAATAAATCAAAACATTAAAAAAAAATGATTTTTTTTTTAAACAAACCCAAACTGAATAAAATCTATTATCATGTGAAAGAGGTTGTGTTGTTAACGTTGATGATAATTCAAATGATGATTGTCGCTAAAAATAGATAAGTATTTTTTATGCATGATATTAAAAGATTAAACAATCAAAATAAAACTTACAAGATCACGTGCTAATTCAATCTCTAATTCTAATGTATCACTGCAAAGAATTTGAATAATTTCTTGATTATAAAGTGCAATAGAATTGTTTTCAAAATCTTGCATTTCTCTTGTATTTATTTTAATTTCATCATTATTTGAAGAATTAGTCATTGAAAATGATGTTATATAATCGATACATTTCTAAATAAAATGATTGAATTATAGATCTTAGAAAAAGAAAAAAAAAAAAGAAATTGACATTTATTTAGATTATAGTACAGACATATCAGATTGAATTTTTTTCGGCAAAAATTGACACTCGGAAAACATTTTGTTTTTCTTATAAATTTGAGAAATATTTATTGTATAAATCTTTTCGAGAGCTCATGACAAAAAAAAATGTTTTTATCGAACAAAAATGGTATAGTATTGTTTTTTTTTTTCGAAACAATACATGCTATAATAAATTAACAATTAATTCTGGAAGCAAATAAGCATGCTATCTAAGTTAATATTCTTTTGAGTAATTCTAAGTAGATATATAATTCTCTTGAAGCAAATAAGAAAAACTTTCCTTCAATTCTGATATCATATGTTTCGTACTTGATGAACTCAAATATTTATTCAAGTATAATAAAGATGAAATTTAATTCTCTTTTCAAACAGATTTATGAGAAGAAGAAAAAAACCTAAGAAACAAATATTTTGAATTGAAAAAGTCTAAAAAATTTTAGGTCGACAAACCATAATTTCATGATATGAATTAATTAAGTATGATAAACTTTTAATATTTAAGAAATTAATATAATTATAGAAGAAAAAAAACATGTATATACCATTAAAGCTCGATGAATAGCTTTTCGACTAATATCTTCATCATCAAGGTCATCACTACTAATTCCTTCATCATCATCAGATAATGTCGATCGATCATCAGTTGAAACAGCTAAACAAAGAAAAAAACAAAGCAATTATAAAATTCAAGAAAAAAAAAAAAAAGAAAATTTATGCAGTGAAAACTAACTATGAAATTGTTTAAGAAAATCATTAAATGATTCAAATTCTATTGAACGATCTGATTTTGATGATATTGAACAATCACTTGCTAAGCGTAATACAATACGACTAATCCATTTTAAAATCTAAAGAAAAATTTTATCATAAAAAAAACAAAAACAAAAGAATATTTTATTTTCAATTAAAATTTCTTACCGAAATTGTATCTTTTTGTTGTTCTACATCACCTAAAATCAATATTAATAAAAATAAAATCCTCAAAACAAAAAATATCATACGTTTTGGATTGGAAAATTGTTTATAAAGTAATTCATCATCAATAGTAACATTTCCATTGAGATCAATCATAAGTAATTGTAAGCCATTTGGAATATCAACATTTGAACTAATCCATCTAATAAGTGCTAAATTTTTTAATGAAAATATTAATGATTGATAAAAAAGTGCTATTGCTTGACTTGGTTGTAAAACATGGTTAAATAAAGAAACTGTTTTACAAAAACATACACGTTGCATCTGAAAAATAATAAAAAAGATTTATCTGAATATTATGAGACGTTTGATTAACGATAGAACTTCATAGAACAAATATGGTTTTATTTGGCATAATAATGTCTTTAAAAGAAAGAACAAGGAAAAATAATTTAACCAACCAAATAATTTTATTTTTGATGATTCATGCATCAGTATTAATGGATGAAAGAGAACAAATAGAGTAGGTCTATTTTAGGGTTTATCGATGACAACGGAATGAATTATGAATCTATTTAATTGAAAATTTCTTTGATAACTATTTTTTTACGATTAAATAATATATAGTACACTAGCAATGGGATTAAAAAGCGTTTCTTTCTTGTAATTTTTTCATAGATTCACTTTCGACTAGTGGCATCTGTACGACATCTTTAGGTCATAAGAAAGTCCAGAATATGTTTTTATGATGTAGTCAAAAACTGAAAAAGAAACATAATTATCATATGCTCATTAGGGGCAATAATATGTTATTTTTATTCTGGAAAGGACTATATTGGTGAAAATTATAGAGAGCAGCATAAGTAAAGCATTTTTAGTGTAAAACTAGTGGCGTAACCAGAGGGAGGCTTTCTTTCTTCTCAGAAGACTTTGAGTTCTTCCCATACCAACGGTTGAGTTTCGCTTAAAAAGAAGCTCACGTCCAGCCCTTCCTCTAGGGACATGGTTAGAAGACTGTGGCTTGTACAATTTTTTTTCTAATTGTTCCTGTTTCTAAAACATGTTTACAGAAATATGGCTCTAAAAGGAAGTTTTTTATCATTTGTAAGCTAAATTTAGAAGTTTTGCAATAACTAAATTATCGCATAGGATCCATTGCTTCGAAACCATGAGTCAAGTACATAATTGAAGACAAAATAGGCTGAGGAAGTTTCATCTAGTGTCTTACAGTATGCCAATATTTAAGTAGTACATTATCTGGCCAATAAAGTTTGACTAAAAGATTAAGCAGGAACGAGAATTTATCTAATGCAAATAAACGGTTTATTTTATTGAGTATATACATCTGAAAGAAGAGAACACTTCATCAAGATATCTAGATTTTGATTAGGTCTTTTCAAATATTAGTATGAACTCAAGTGAAATAGTAGATGGTAAAATCTTACAAGATCGCCCCATTGATCTTGTAAGATCAGGTGTAAATCGTACGGAGCACTTCCATCTCTGAAGTCTTAAATTAAAACCTACTATAATATTATAAAAAATCTTGTGTAACGGTAAGATCTTTGAAGTATTTTAGAGTAGGATTTAATGTAATATTTCTGAGATGAAGACTTTTTCTAACGGGGAAAACGCATTTAACTGTCGGACGTCGTTCGAGCCTAAATTTTGGCTATGAGTAGAGCTCAGTGAGACTAAAGAAGCTCTAGAAGAATTCGAGACCATAGCATGCCTAAATGCAAATTTGGTTGCTACATAGTTCTGAGAAAATGGAATTTTTTTACATAGAATTTTCATTTGATACGCGAAGCAGAGTCATATTTATTCAAGAAGGTGCGATCAATCTGGAGATAAGGCTCATTAGAGTCTTGTTGCTATACCTTACAGCATGAACGAAAAAAACAAAGGACGAATATGTATTTCCCTTTGGTTGAGAATCATGTGAGCATCAACTGTAGTGCATACTTTCCGAACTGACTTGATTATTTTCTTATATTCTTTTTCAAAAACAATTATTGTCACTTGAATTGCATCTTTTCTGGATACTCAAAGTTGTAAGCAAACTGATTTTCGACCTGTCCAACATTCTAAACGAACAGAGCTTGTGAAACATTTTTGCAGAACAATTCAAAACTATAAATCATGTTCATCATATACAATACAGATCGATTTAGAATGTGGATATGAATGTTTGGACATGAGTGTGTGAGTGCGTGTGTGCATAAAAAGAAGTTTTAAACACACCTTCTCAGTGATACTTCGTCATGTTTTTCTTTGACTGTAATGCTAGGAACAAATCGAGAGGTAAGATTGATCTATGTTTATTTACGAAAAAACGTGACAAAATATTAGTTTATATGTGAGCGTCATGTATTTCACGTATAGTCTAACATGATTGAATATGGATGTCAGTTTTCTAAGTTCTATGATTACTTATACGTTTCATGCACTAGCAACAAAACTTCTCATTAATGTTCGTAATGAAATTTTAGAGGTCAACCTTTGCTGAAATCTCACTACCGTTACTGGTTTTTGTCATGCAGCTAAATAATACTTCATTCAAGCTAAAATAACTGCACGATCCAGCGAAATTCTCACGAAATCTTGAAGCAAGTTTTTCTCCGATGTTGGCAATATATTAATTGAGATCAATGCATAGCATGCAAATCGATTCAACCATGTACCTGTTTGCATATGGCGGTCAAAGTGGTTCCGTTGAAATAAATATCTCGACTCGAAAGTTTGAAAGCACTCATATTTTGTTTGAATTAGAAAGAACGCGAAAAAATCAATGATTGAATGAGTACATAGCAACAACATCAGAGTAATGAGATCTATTTCGAGGAACATGCACATGACCACTGCATATAAAGAAAGGATGAGCATGTTTTATGCAGCATTTGAGCGACACAAAAAATCATAGAAGTTTTGTCATCTACAGGTTTCTTTCTGTTAATTAATTCTCAATATATTGGAAATGTATTTGAAGTATCTTGCTGCGAATGACGTTAATGGATTAAGTCTGATTTTCATTCCTTTCTTCTTACTTGTTAAGAGCATAAAACATTTACATTGTGTTGTCACAATTTTATTTTTTATTTCTAGATATTTCAAATAATTATAGATTTTGAAATTAAAGCAAGAACATGTAGCGTATATAGAATAGTTTCGAGTAGTTTTATAAACTGACAGACTCTTTACAAAAATTTGATTTACGTAGACACAGATTTCTCAAAAGTTTCTAATTTATATCGAAAGCTAAGTAGCATTTCATTAATTAAGTTCATTAGTTAGGAGAAGCTGCCGATCGGGACATTCAGATTGCTCATCCGAAGAGGTCTTTCCAGACTGTTGATTGGGCATCCGCATGTAAAAAGGAGTTACTCACAATCTCACCCGAGTCAGCATTCAAAGCCACATCCTCACTCCCACTGACACTCAATATTGTTCCAGTCGAATGACGATAGCGTTCGAAAAATCGCGAAAAACAGCTTAGCAATCATCGAAAAACAAAATGAAGTACATCAATGTTTTCATTAACCATCCAGTATCAGCTGGTGCGTTGATTTTTGCAGTAAGGAACTGCTCAAATGATCGATTGTGCTGATATTGTCCCACTATTACAGCATATCGCGAGCACACCGTGATGCAGTAGTGCGCCACAGTTTGTATGCAATGGTACATTTTGCTATAATTTGGATGTGAGCGTGAGTTTTTAACTTCATGCACACACTCATCCACTCATATCCAATCAGCGTGGCTAGTAACGGTGAGAATTTGGAAACTGTTCGATATTTGTTACGTGACATTTCTGACCCTTTTGCGCCTACCTTTCCACATCTATGACTAAGAATCAGAATGTCAGCTGTTATAAAAATTTATATAGCATATATATTAAATACTCTTGGGCAAAAGTCTTTCCTTCTCTCTTTTTCTCATTTTTTTCGTGTCGAATCCATAGCTCTCAAGTGAATATTGGTTACAAGATTGACTTAAATACTATTTTACGGTAGTTTATGATCGATTACTACCTATTTCATTGAAGAATGTACGTCATTCAATACAAATGGTCAATACTACAAATCAATTGATCGATAGAAAATGCCATCAATTATACACTACACTAGAATAAAGTACTTAAGCCATCTTTTTAACTAGGCTTCACCTGAGAGAAAAGAAATTCTATACAAAAAAATGAATGATGGGAAACGAGAAACTTTTGCCGGCCGGTGTACATTTTATATTAAATCACAATAGAGAATTGATCATAGGTCCTTCTATCATGTTCGAGCAAATACTCGTAGTGCAAGCGCCGCTGCATTTTATCCGTAGAGACGGTCACACGCCCATATCCGTACCCGAGCGTGCGTGATTTGCTCCACCAGAACTGCGGCTCTAACCATTTGTCGTGGTCAAGCGCTCCACCAGTTCCTTGTACCACAATTACGGGTGAATGGACGTTAGCATATGTATTATTGACGATTGTTGTCGTATTATCGTAGAATACTCGCTCGTATACGTGCATGTGGCCTGTAATGACCAATTGAACTTGATATTTGACAAAGAGCGGGTAGACTGTTTGAAACAGAGTCGAGTTGGGCAAGTGTTGACTAGAATGTAGTGATGCATTCGAAAGAATATCTGTAGAAAAAACAATGAACATACTCTAGTTCGGATTCCACTGAGCACAATAGAGGTCTATGTGTCACGACAACAATGAACGGCTGTTGTATCCGATTCTGGGCAGCCTTAGTGAGATCGTTGACCAACCATGCATACTGTGGACTGTCTTTGGCATAGTCATGCTTGAAAATAGAGCAGAGAAATAGAATACTAGCGCACTCTCAAAAAAATTCACCCGGTTCTTGGATTGAAAAAAATTATTAGATGCCTATAAAATATTAGGGATATTGCGAGTTCTATTTTATAAAATATAAAAGATACCAGTTACGCGACAGTTGAGCTACACATACGAAAGTATTACACGACGAAAAACCGCTAATTTTACACTATCAACACCATTTTACGTAGAAAAAGAAAATGTAAAATGATTTCGTGAGAAAAAGTTATTTGAATAGATATGAGTTTGAACTGTGAATATATGTCCATTTTAACATGCCCTAAATCTGACAAGTAGGACTGAAATACTTTTATTTCAAGATCGAACATCCTCAACTTTTTAAAGAGATTCCCGTTGTCCAGACAAAACTTTTCCGCGGTTTTTGTTTTCTGACAATATTTTTAGCACAAGAGCAAAATAGGTGGAACATAACGTTATGAAATGTCTACTGACGGCATAAGTATCGGAATCTTTTTGTAAAATGAGGCATATCAAAGAAAAAAGCAATATCGTAATTCAAAAAATAGGAATATGGTCATTCGAACATCTAACTCAGTCATCCATCGAGCATTTCATTTTCCTGTCAGTCTAGGAAAAAGCGCATCAATCAACTAGTGGTAGCCGACCTGTGAGCTCATTGAGACCCAATGAATGGGTCCAATATTGAAGCTGAACCAAAAGTTGTCGAGACCATCACTTTCGGGACCTGGCATGCGGAATCGGTTGCGATAGACTGTAAAATTATAATAAGCCTCGTGATTGCCCACATTTGTCATGTACGGCACTATGGATGAGATGGGTTCTACCTGCGTTCCCCATATGTCCCAAATTTCCTAGAAGGACAAAAGAGAGACAGTAGTAGAAGTCATTCACGATTTTTCTCGATTTACCGCTATCTCATCCTTTGAGCCGGTACCAGCATAACTAATGTCGCCCACATGCACGACAGCCGAGAATGGTGTGACCTGATGGTCCTCTTTGATTTGCTTAGCCACAAGATAACCAGCCGGAATGACAGTGCCCATGTCACCCATGACAGCAAATGTATGCGTCGTGACGGCAGGGCAGTCTGTTTTGAAGCTGATCTCGTTTGACCATGCTTTGGAGTTTCCAACCCTGAATGAATAACAAATGGTTTGAATGGGTGAGTGATTGAAGCATCTAATATTACTTGTAATAGTATGTCTGACATTGGTCTAAACTCGTCATCCAAGCCTCATAGATGGTTCCCTTCCATCCTCCGATTCCGACATCGTAAGTTCTGTTCTTCGCCACCTGTTGGAAGCTGTATCTGCCGCTCGCATTTCCGTAACGCACGAACGAAGGCGGTTGTTGCTCATCCTTACCACCCTTTATAATCCATACAACCACCACAGTGGACCAAGTACCATCAGCAAGCAGAGATAGGTGGACTTGCTAAGAAGAAGAGAGAAATACTCAACAAAAGTCAAGTATAAAATACGAACTTGTGGAACACCTTTCTTCGTGAGAATATCAAGTGCTGCGTAGTTTGCTCGAAATTGCTGCCAAGAAATAGTGTAAGACTTTTCTTCCTTCTGTATCTCTTGTTTCATGACACGCTTCATGGTATGGATCAGATGGTTAGGGTCTACAATAGGATCTTCTGGTTCGATGTTATGAAAGAAATGTTGTAATTCATGTAGATCAAGTTCATCGTTGCCATTTAAATCAATGTGCCGAAAGAATGACCGAAGTGGAGATTCTTCAACTGCGAACGAGCAGGTTAATTGGTGAATAATCAAGAGACAAAAAAACATACCTTGCGCGAAAGATTTAGCTTGTATTAATTTCATCACCGCCAAGAGCCAGAACAAGAAGTACGAAACTGAACTCATATCTCAAAGTCACAAAGAACCGATGATATATGAAAAAATCTAAGTATTTATTTCTGAAATCACAAAGGAAGGCAGGTAATCTGACGTAACTCTTATCTTGGCAATGTGAAAATTGAAAGGTATTGTTTACAAGTAGAAACGGCCGAATAAATTTTGAGTTAGCAGAGCTTATCAATTGTTTTTTTGGACGGTAGGGGAACTCACATGCTTCTTTCGCGAGTCTACGGAAAGAAAAATGTATTTTGTGCCAAATTTTCAAAAACCACAGGGGGCTCGAGTTTAAAGAGCTCCCTATTCTGTCGCCTATGTTTGCACGTAATGTGACGCCTCAAAGTTAGAAGTGGGTCTGAAGAACCCTTTGTTGAGAATGACTACGTCGATGAGCTGTTCTTGTAAATGTTGACGCAGTTGCATATGCTTTAGTAGTAATTAATGCATGTTTTCTAGTGTATTATAATGCAAGTTGTTGGCGAAAAAGGTTGGCAATGAATTTTCCATGAGCGAAAAGCAAGTGGAAGAAAAACTTGAATGTATCAATGTAATGGCGCACCATGTTGCAACTATGGTGCACTAGTTTATCAGTACATTCAACTGATAAGCTTATTCTTTCTCTCCAGTAGTGGAAAAAAAGAATGAAAAAGAGTAGTCTTCTAGAGCAAGGTGATAAAGAGCGATACTCATTATTTAAATCTTTGTTATCATTATCTCCTCCAGGCGTTACTCAATAAAATAAGCTATTCGTGTATTGTGAATAATTCTCTACAGAATGTACAACAAGTAGCGCAACGTTTGCGAAAGCATTCTTATTGATCCTTTGCCTACGGGTCCAATGATTCACATACGATTTTACCAAAAACGTTTTAGATGTTTAATACATGGTTATTTATTCTGAAAAGTCGTGTAAAGTATCAAAATCTTTCAAACAGTCACTAAGGCATAAGGATATCGATGTGGTCATGGATGTCGTGTTCATTTACATCCCCATCTATCGTATACCGTAAACACCATATCCTTATGATTAAATCCTTACACTTCTATACTTAGCATGGAGGTGTTTGTATTGCGAATTAATAAGATCGGCCATATTTCAGTTAGAATAAAGTTTTCACTCTCAAATTTACAAACTTGGAACCTGAGCTGTCGTTGTAGAGCCCGGGAGTTCTGAAAAAACAATAGAATCGAGAGCCGAATTGGAGGATGAACCGTTAGAACCAATACTTTTTATACTGATAACTGTGGAGCTGCTCAAGTGTTGCATAATCTGAAGTCGGAGAGACCAATCTGCGATTACTTCAGCAGTAAACTATGGATATTTTTCACAATTGGACGCAAAGAGAAGTCAAAAATAGCTAAAACTATGATTAAGATTCCTGAAAAAATCTAGCATCGTCAAAAAAATCACTTTTTCAGAGAAGGGATGATCAGATACTCCGATATGCACTTTCATAATAATTATAACTTTGAGCCATGTCCTATTAAAAGCGAGGTTTTTTGCCTAAAACGGTTGGTTTTTCTTACGACAGATGTTCAATGATGCGTCTTCATTGGTATTCTATTACAGTAAGAGATAAATTGAAATATATTTTTGTTTGAAAGCTCTTTTTTTAAAAAGTGACCTTCGTCAAGGAAAAAAATTATTTTCTTTTGAACAAAATGTTATTAAAACTTGACTTTCTTTCATAAAATTGCTCAACTTTACTAAGTTTTTCTATTGACTAAATTTTTATGCCTCAAGACTAGCGAAAGAAGAAAATCAGACAACGAGTTGCGAGAGTTACTAGACATCAGTATCTTCTGTTGAATAAAGAAAAAGAATAAACTTTTTCAGTTGAGTTGGCTAAATATCATTGAAGATGCGATAGACACCAAAAATGGGTATTAGCAATATACTAAAATTGCTCTAGTTCATACTAAGAACGAGGTATAGAGCTGAAGTTTCTTTCTATATGTAACTAGGCATCCCTAATGTTTGCATAAAGTTTCACTTCAATATAATTCTTTGTCAACGAAAAGATTATATAACTGATTAACAGTCATGATTTTTTTATTCTTTCTTTTTGTTGATTTATATTTCGAGGAAATTGCTTTTTCAAAAATAATAGACATTAACAATTCCGAAAAATGCAATGTAACTTAGGAACTTCTAGCTAAAAAAGTAGTTATATCATTTATCTGGTATACTATTATTAGATCACCAATTCCAAAGATACTTTTTAGGAAACGAAATTGCAATCGTTTTTTTTATTAACCGAAACTGACGGTCCCTATGACTTTGGCGTATCATGACTGAGATATTTGAATTTAACGGTATTTAAAATCTAGGTATAGACACTACAGAATTATCTACAATGAGTTTTTTAAGAGAGGGCCTGTGACTGAATTGAGTATATTTACTATAGGCTGTCATGCGAAAAATTTTAATATAGCTTTTTTATCATTGTGAATGAAAGAACATGTAAAAAAAAGCCTATAAGTCTAAAACTTTAGTCTTCTTTTAAAAGAAGACTAAAGTTTTAGACTTATAGGTCTTTTTTACATGCTCTTTAATTTTCAATTATAAAAAGGCTATATTAAAATTTTTCGTGTGACCCAATTTCTCAATTGAGTCATGAACTGTCTCCTAAGTTACTTTTATGTTAATTGATCTTTTTTGATAAAATTGCCTGTAGATATCAGTATATTGTAGTGTGAAACAGAGCTGTCAGTCTGGTCTGCTGCCTGGCAGGCTACGCCAAATCCCAATTGTTGGTCTGGATGTGATATGATATTATTTCTTCCAGTAGAATTTGAAACATAAGGTGGCGTCAAAAGTTCATAACTTTGTGAGAGTATGAGTGTAAGTCAGCTCAATGATTAGCTAAACTATAAATAATTAATTCTATTCTCTGCTTCTTTTCACATCAAATACAGGCATTTGAATATAAGATTTCAGATCATTGTTGCAAGATTATTTTACATAACAATGAAGATTTTAATGGATTTTCATATATAATTTAGTGAAACAAATAAATCAAAATTATTTTCACGACAGAATTCAAACAATGACATCCAATATGGAAAAATATTCGTGGAAATAAATAAAAATAAATCTTTTATAAACTTCTTCATTTTATCTTCAAGAAACAGATCTTCCAAGCTAGCTTTTTATTGAGTTATATTCAGTCAATGAATTTGATACTAGAAACAAAAGTAGTATTTTACAATTTCTTCGACAAACCAAAACATAGCCATCTTTTAATATATAATTTCATACATATATTTCCATATTAAGATCACATTCAATTGTTAGTATTCAATTCTCAAAATCAATAGATTTTAATTCTTGACGTAGGCATCAAAATTTGTCAATTTCTGGCGCGAAATGAAAATCAGAAAATACTCGTTCAAACGATAGCATCTGTTTTCTGATCTTCAATATGATCATTCCATTTTCTCACAGAAAACATCTAAAAAGACAAATTTTTTATGCAATTTTTTTTTTCTTCAAGTTTCAAGATTATTAAAACAAAGACAGCAACAGAAGTTACTCATTATTCTCATTTTATCTAGTTCAGACAGCTGTGAATACAGTTGATGATATCCGTTAAAGGAGTTCTCATAGTTATGAATTTTACAATGCTTACTTCACAGTTTCTTTCTGATTTTGATCATCTGATTAGCCCAAACTTAACTTTTTCGATTTACAGCAACAAACAAGAAGTCCTAATTCATATATAGCGTGATCATCTTTTGGAGAAAAGTGCTTCATATTCAATCGTTCAAATGATTATTCATTTTTTTTTATAGAAAATATCGTTTTATCCTTTAATTCATGTTGAAAGCTTCGCACCACATTTTGCAACCAAGAGAAACTCAAATGCGATGTAGTTATACAAAAAAAACAAATGTTAACTGTTTTTGCTCTCTTTCTGTTTATGATTCATTGCATGTTATCACTGGCTCAATAAGGACGAATAGCAATAGACATGTATATTTCTTTTAGAGTTCATTGCTTGACAACAAAAGAAAACATGAAACGGATGAAATGATTCTAGAATTTTATATGATCAATTTTCGATATTAAATTAGTGTAGAAACAGAAGAAAAGAATAATATTTCTTCTAATTTTCAATGATGAATTATGTAATTATTCATAATAAGAGTGCAATAAACTTTCTTCAAAAAAAAAAGGAACATATGAATGATACTGTTGAACCGTTCATTTCAAAATCTATATATTGTTTTAAATATTTTAGATCTTGATTAAAATGCAAGTCAAATTTCTTAAACAAATATCTGATTCTATTACTGGCGAAGCACAAATATCAGCTATTTGTTTTTCACCAAATGGTCAAAAATTTGCTATATGTATTGATCGTGTTGTACAATTATATGATGAAACAGGTGAATTACGTGATCGTTTTGCAACAAAACCAATAGATTCGAAATATGGTCGACAATCTTATGTTGTTACAGCAATGGATTTTTCACCTGAAAGCACACAATTAGCTGTAGCACAATCGGATAATATTGTATTTGTATATAAATTAGGTGTTGATTGGAATGAAAAAAAATCTATTGTTGCTAAATTTGTACAATCAGCACATGTTACATCATTACTATGGTTACCTGATGGACAAATTATATTTGGTTTAGCTGATGGAAAAATACGTTCAGGAAATGTTAAAAAAAATAAATCACATACATTATTTACAGCTGAACAATATACTGTAGCATTAACAACAAATGTTTCACGTAAAGCTATTTTATCAGGTCATGCTGATGGAAGTATTTGTCGATTTATAATTGAAGATGAAGGTACAGGTGATAAATCAGGTTTAGTTGTACGACATTCATGTCCACCATGTGCACTTATTTGGAGTGCACATGGTATACTTGTTGGAGGATGTGATCGACGTGTTGTAGTTTATAGTAAAGATGGTAAAATTTTACAACAATTTGATTATAGTCGAGAACCGCAGGAACGTGAATTTAGTACTGGTATTTGTAATCCAACAGGTAAGATATTGACATTTATTCGAAAGTTATTTTATTTAATATCAATGAAATGTTTGAAATAAAAAAAAACAAAGATATAAACAGATGAGTAATGAGTCTATGTATTAGACTTTTGTACATGAAAAACTTTGCTTACAAATAGGATCTATAATATGATAGGACATGGATTGAAATGTTAATTGTCTTCAATAAATAATTTAAGGAGTCATATTACATAGATCTAGAAAATATGCAAAATGATGACGATGAGACTAATGGACATATCAAAAAATGACTTTAATCTCTATGCAAATGTACTAAAAAACATGCCATCTCTATAAGAAACGATGCGCTTTCTTGAATGACCGTACACTAACGATAGAAAAAAAAGTATATTTAAAAATCTTATTTATTATAGGTCAAGAATGTGTTTTTGGTTCATATGATCATATACGTCTTTATTCATATCAACCAAGAAAAGGCATGTTTGATGAAGCACCAATGAAAGAAATTAAAAATATGTATACAGTTACAGCAATGGCTTGGCGTTCAGGTAAAGAAAAAAAAAAGAATGACATTCTTATTATTGGTTGATGTTCGTTTTTTTAAAACTTAGATGGTGCACGTTTTGCTGTTGCTAATTTAACTGGTGGTACATTTTTATTTAATTGTTCATTAAAAAAATCGAGTATGAAAGGAAAATATGCAATTAATTTTGTTTCATTATCTCAAGTACTTATTGAAAATAAATCTACTGGAAAACGAACAGATTTAGTATCACGTAATGGTTTTGAAATAGTTGATGTTAAAATAATGGGACGTGATCGTTATGCTGTTGGTTATACAACTCATACACTTTTATTAGTTGATTTAGAAGATGAAAAACGTCGTTGTGAAGTACATTGGCAATCAGCTGGTGATGAAAAATTTTCATTTGATAATGAAAATGTTTGTATGATATTTGCTAATGGAGAATTAACATTAATTGAATATACTCCTAGTGGAAGACATGGTGATAATATATTATGTTCTGTTCGAACAGAATTTCTTAGTCCAAATTTAATTAGTGTACGTGTTGAAGAACGAAATTTACAAGGAAATAAAAAAATGGCTTATTTACTTGATAGTCGTACAATTGGAATTGTTGATTTAATGTCAACAAGTGGTGCAGCTGTTATTGATCAAGTAAATCATGATGCAAATATTAATTGGTTAGCATTAAATGAAACCAGTCGATATTTATTATTTCGAGATAAAAATCTTAAATTATATTTGTATGTATTATCTAAAAACAAAATGAAGAGTATTTTTTTATTACATATGAATTCATGTTTTTCTACTTTTTTTGTCGTAGATATAATCTTCTGACAAGAACAAAAACCTGTATACTTTCATTTTGTATTTATGCACAATGGTATGTATATTAAGTTTCTCATGTTGACTGAAATGTAAGATATTTCAGAGAACAATCATTTATTTTTCAATGCTTTGACTATGAGTTAACTCAAGCTTCAGATAAATATCCTCATTATGGAGCTGCGGGTCCGTCCAGACCCGGATCCGGGTCTAAATCTTTTTTGTCGGGTTTCGTTACACGTTTTTGTGGATCCACTGTGCTCCCCAAATGAGAAATACAGCAACAAGATATAACTGTACGTTGATTTTTTCTTCTGAAAACAACAAATAAATAACTAAAACCATGATTCTTTACTTATTCATGTGCACGGAGGGTGCCATATATTGATGGAAAAAACCTCGGGTTTGGGCCGACCAGGTCCACAAAAATGTGGACTTGCAGCTTCTTAATTGCCATACCATTTCTGAAACTCTATAGAACATTATGTCTAAAATGGAACACTGCAACCCGTGAGTACGAGTATGAAAAATAACGATTTATGGAGACACAAACTTCATTTTTAACAGTATGATTCATAAAAAATTTGAAAATATGTGTTTTTAATCCTATTGTTAAATAGCGATTATCCTTGCTAACATTTTTTGTTAGTCGTTCTGTTCAACTATCAGCAATATGTCACAGTAATGAAATTCACGGATTGCGTACCTACACTCGTATCCGTGCACTGTTCTAGTCTAAAAAACAAATAATAATTCAACGCCTTATAGCAATTTTGACATGCCGGAACATGAGCAAATCTTGACTTTTATTTGGAATTTCTTAAACTTTCTTAGGCGATTAGTAACGACTAGAGATGTGCAGGACAAGTTTTTTGATTCCAGCCCCGATAAGTCTTGTCTAGTTTCGGCTCCGATCCTAGTGATTTTAGTTTTTTGAGTCTCGGTCTAAAGAGAGAACCATTCCAGAATTTATTCGTATCACCTGTAAAAAAAATCCTTCAATGCTCGTTGTTTGATTCGTCGACGACTAGAATTCATTTCGGTCATTTCTATTGAATTATGTTCTCATTTATAAGATAATTCGTTTAAAATCATAAAATATTTTACTATAATTTTTATTTCCGAGTAGTACAACTTTTTTGTTCATAATCCCGATCTTGCACATATCTAGTAATGACGTTTGATATACTATGAGAAAAAAAAATGAATATCTTCTTTTATTTAGGATACCCGATAGTGATGTTGTTGTTGGTCAATCTCAAGATAATTTATCTGTTTGGTATAATATTGAACATCATGAATCTTGTGATATAAAACCAATAAAAGGTGACGTTATTGAAATAAGTAAAGATCCATCAAAAAATCGAACATATGTTAAATTAAATGATAATGGTGTTCAATCAACAATTGAACTTGATTCAAATAAAATTGAATTTAATACAGCTATTAATGATGAAGATTTTCGTCGTGCTGTTGCTTATTTAGATGCATGTGGTTCATCAGATGAAACATCAAATGCTTTATGGGACACATTAGCACGTTTAGCATATGAAAAACAAGAATATATTATAGCTGAACAAGCTTATACAGCAACAAGACAAATGGCTAAAGCACGTTTTCTTCATTCAATAAATCAATTAGCAAGAGAAAAAAAGGGTGCATATGAACATTATGAAGTTCGAGCCAAATTAGCTATATTTGAACGACACTTAAAAACAGCTGAATCAATTTATTTAGAAAATGGTGATGTTGATAAAGCTATTGATATGTATCGTTCAATGCATCATTGGGATGAAGCTATAGCTGTTGCTGATCGTAAACGACATCCACAAGCTGATGAACTTCGTTCAACATATTATAAATGGTTAATTGATACAAAACAAGTTGCACGTGCTGCTGATTGGAAATTAAAACAACATGAAGATGAAGAAGCTATTGCATTATATATGCAAGCAAATTTACCATCAAAATCAGCACAAATTCTTATGCAAAGTCCACAATTAATGCGTGATAGTGATCTTGTTACACGTATAGCTGTTAATTTAGTTAAAGCAAATATGTGTGAATTAGCTGGAGATCTTTATGAACATGTACAAGAATTTCCTAAAGCATTAAGTTGTTATGAAGCTGGAAAATGTTTTCGTAAAGCTGTTAAATTAGCACGTAAAACAACTCCAAAAGATGTTGTTGCACTTGAAAGTAAATGGTATGGTTAAGAGAAATTTTATAAAATTTAGAAAAATAAAATGATTTGTTTTCTTTCTTTCTTTCTCTCTTAGGGGTGATTATATGGCTGAACAAATGCAATATCTCGAAGCTGTAACACATTTTATTGAAGCAGGTGAAAATATGAAAGCTGTACAAGCAGCTATACATGGTCGTCAATGGTCACGTGCATTGGAAATTCTTGAACAACAACGAGATGATAATAATCCAGATGTTGCCAAATATTATAAACAACTTGGTAAATAATTCATATTTGTGTACTTTATTCAATATTAATCTAGATTCATGTACAGAACTATTTCGAGACAACAGTTTGTAAAAACTCAATTTATATTTTTCTTCGAAAAAAAATATAGTCAGTGTATATTTTAAATTAAGGCTTTGTGGTTCACTTCTCCGAGAACAACGAGAGAGACGTCCGACTGTGAGATCTTAATCTCATTTGTAGTTTATTTCTGTATATATCAAATGTAATGACTATAAATAGGGCGATAAGGGAAGGGAAAAAATCTCGTAGATTATAAACAAGAAAGGATAATGCGTAAAATAAGTTTAAAGAATGAAAATCGAAAGGAAAGAGAAAATTTATAACGCATGACTAGCAATAGGAGAAGAACTTGAGTTTATGGGTATAATCTTATACATAACGAAGAAACTCTTATAATCTCATCTGAAGAAGATGCAGGTCATAACACCATCGATCATTGGGTACGTTTCCATAACCGTTGAGGATAATAGGTGTCAGACTCTTTTCTCAGAATATCTTAGCAATGAAAAGAACACAAATAAGTTCCACATTTTAGCCATAGAGAGGTTGCGCTGACAAGGTTTCTTTTAAACACAAATTTATTTATCATAATTGATATTTCCTAGTAGTTTAAATTCTATAAAAAAAATGAATATTATTCTTCATATTTTGTTTAGCTCATCATTTTGCTCAAGTTCAAGAATTTGATAAAGCTGAACGTTGCTATTTGAAAGCACAATGTCCAGGTGAAAGTGTTGAAATGTATAATCGTGCTGCAAAATGGGAACAAGCATTCCGTATGTTTTATTTCAGTTATGAATATTTCATTTCAAAGTTGGTTTTTTTTCTCTTCTTCAAAAAAAAAATTTAAAAAGGTCTTGCAAAACAATATATGAATAAAGATGAAGTTACAAAATTATATTCTAGTCAAGCTAAAGAACTTGAAGCTAAAGGACGTTATAAAGAAGCTGAAAAATTATACATTACAATTAATGATAATGCAGCAGCTATTCTTATGTATAAACGTACGAAAAATTATGATGCTTTAATACGTCTTGTTCGTCAATATTATCCAGATAAAATGAAAGATACTGAAATAACAATTGCTAAAGAACTTGAACAAGAAAAACGATATAAAGAAGCTGAAATACATTATGTTCAAGCTGGTGATTGGAAATCAGCTGCAAATATGTATCGTTTATTAGATAATTGGGATGATGCATATCGTAAATATGATTTTTTTTTCTGTTTTTGAAATTTAAAATTAAATATTCGTTTTATTTAAAAAAAAGGTATTGCACGACAACATGGAGGTCCAGTTCCAGCTCAACAAGTAGCATTCTTCTGGGCGAAAAAATTAGGCGGTGATGCAGGTGTTAAACTTCTTAATAAATTAGGTCATGCTGAACA